TGTAAACCAGAGGCAGGGATGTACTAAAGAAAGTCAGTGTTTGGTACATGCAGAAAAAATGAATCCAAATATATGCTAAACATGGGAAGATTCAAGAACACATCACTGCTTCGGGTGCTTCAGACTAGTAATTTAGTCTTACCCCAAGGAAATAAGAACTTCTTGGAATGATATAGAAGACAGTGAGCAAAGAGTTTGAGCATTTGTGCATTAGTTTGTAAAATGACCTTCACTGCAGATCTCCTCTTACTCAGATTGAAATGCATCCATTTAATGGTAGAATACAGCCTAGGAAGAAAGCTCTCAATTTAACACTGTCTTTCTTTTGCTGACATTTTGGCCTATACATCTGATTGCAACTCTTTAAATACGCAAGGAGCAAGAGTTGTTTTGTCCACTCTTTTAGATGTCCATAGATTTAGATGTTATTATCTGCACTAAGAGATGTTTCTGAGATGCCATCTTTTCTTTTCTTTCTTTGTAGAACTTTGCATATTTATGACAAGAGTGAGAGTTTGCAAAAGAAGGGAAAATTTGTCTTTATGTGCTTTTTTTCTTTTATAAAACATTCAAGTTCCAAACAGTTTGGCTAACACTGGTTAAACATTAATGCCTGTCCTTTGAGTGATAGTCATCTGAGGCTAGTTCTCTTTTGCATGGAGGGATGCTCATGAGAGTTCTAAGAAAAGACTGTAGTACCGTTCCTATGCTGTTGTTTGGTGTAGGCTACTTTGCAAAAGTCTATCCTCTTGTTGGTCAGAATCTCATCACTATACTTGCAGTAATTATCTGAGATAATGAATTTATAAACAGGATAGCTCTAGAGGTTCCATCCATGACTGATTAGCCCATTGCTTTGGACTCAAGATGGTGAAGTGTATTATGGCAAGAGAAAAACCATCATCACTTACTTACATTTTAGGGCTAGGGGTTAACAGAAAAGAAGGAGTCCAGAGGCCCCAAACCCTTTCCAGGGTGCACCTCAAATGGTCCAGTGACCTCCCAGGCTCTGCTCCCTCTCAATAACACTGAGCTGGGGATCAAGCCTTTAACACATAGACCTTGGAAAGACACTTCATGCAAATGAATGGCACCCCCCCAACCCCTTAAAACTTTTGTCTGTCTCACAATGTAAAGTATATCCATCCTGCCACCAACAGAACACAAAATCTTAACTGTTTCAACATTGCTCAAGAGTCCAAGTCTAAAGTCTCCATGTGAAAATTCTACTGTGATCTCATATAAAAATAAAAAAGAAAGTCACATACATCCATTATACAATAATAGAGCAGAATACATACAACACATGTGTTCTTATTCCAAAAGGAAAGACTAAGAGAATATAAAGGAGAGATTCATCCAAAGCAAGATGAAAGCTCAGAAACAACATAAAGCCCAAAGATCCATGTCCAGCAGCCAGGGCACACTGGTAGAATGAAGACTCTGTCCTAGGCCCTGTTGTTACAGCCTACATGCCCCTCCTCTTGGGCTGGCTCTGATTGCTGCCTGCACCTTCCCTTGGCAAGTATTGCATACTGCAGCCACTTCCAAGTTCCTGAGGTCTCCATCACAGCTTTGGCTTCATGTCTGTAACTCCTTGCATTGCCTTACGGGGTGAGCTGTTAGGCGACTCTCACAGAGATTCTGAGCCCACAGCAGCTACCTGGCTTCCTAAGCTATTCTTTGAAATTACTGGGGTCCTCCAACATCTCCCTAACTCTTGCATTATCCACAATTCAGGAACAGTAACAAAGGGATCACATAAAGGCATACTAGTGCAAGTGTACCTCAGCCATTTGTACCATGGCTGCAGTGTCCTCTGAATGCCTTTCTGGCTAAATGTAGGAAAATAAATGCTCAAAAGCTTCCCAAGACAGATCTAGGAGTCAGAAGATTGTTCCCTAGAATATCCTCAAAACACTTTTCATTTCTATATCTCTTAGCCTGTGGTTGTCCAGTGACCATGCTTATTTCTGGGACACCTTTCCGAAGTCCTTTCCACTGTCCTAGTGTAATGCAATTGGCTTCTTTTTATCAGCGTGAACAACTGCACCTTCTTGACCACACCTTTATACAGGCTTTGTTTCTGGCCAAGTTGCAAGTTTTTCAAATCTTTCTGCTCTGTTCCTATTTTGCTCCTGATTTTTACTGTAAATTTGCTTTGCTGTCTTGAAATTGCCTCTATAAGGTAAAATAGATTATTACTTTTAGATTTGGCCTCAGATAAGTTACAGAGGCATGGATTCTTTGCCATGGTGTAGGAAAGGTAGACTTTCATCCAATTCCCAACAGAGTCCTCATTTTCACTTGAAATTTCATCAGCATGGTCTTCAATATCTGCATTTCTAATGTATTCTGAGCATTCACGAGAATTGCCTGTTAAATTCTATATGGGGACAGTTATCCAAACCATAGTACATCTCTCTTTGGTCTTTTTGCTTTTCTTGATCTAGTTCAGCTACACATTTCCATGGCCTTTTGACCTGTGGGAATATCCCTCAGCTTTCACACATCTGATGGATTTTATGAGGCTTTTCTTATGCACCCCCTCGGTTTTATTTCACTCTTCCCTTCATATCCCTCTGATTAAAGTCCCTGATCCAGATAAGCAAGTATATTTCCTAAGCAGATGTCCAAGTGGAAAAGAGATTGCATTGCAAATCTCTGGCAATGTTTCTGTTGGTTTCTTTTCACCTTAAATTTCAAGGAAATTTAAGCCTGGTAAGGAAATTGTGCTTGTCACTTTGGCTAGGAGTTAGGAGAAATTTCTAAACAAGATAGTGCAATCCCCAGAGCCATGCTCAGTCCAAAGATTATGAACTCCATCCTTCTCTGAATCTATTCGTGGGTTTTCCATTGAGGGGCAACATTAGAGTGGAAAATGGATGCTAGGTGGTATGGACCATATTTCAATTACCTGTGGCAGATTTTGTCACAGTGGGCTGGTGCTAAGGTTTGAATTTGGTTCCCCTGCTTCACCAGGGTTCTTGTGTTGGAGGCTAGATCCTCAGTGTGACACTGTGGTAGGACTTTTAAGAGGTGGAGTCTAGAGGGAAGTTTCAAGGTCCTTGGGGACATGCCCTCAGAAGGGCTTAAAGTAGTTCTAGTTCTCATAGGGCCCTGACTTTGTTCTTGTGACAGTGAGTTGTTGTAGGAGCAAGTGCAGTCCTCGAGTCACTCTCTGGCTTCTGTCTGGTGTTGTGATCTCTTCTCACCACATGTGCCCCCACTAGAAGCCAGGCCAATGGGTTTTGTGCAATGATTTTGTGCTTCAACCTCTAGAACTATGAGACCAACAAATCCTTCTATGTAAAGATGGCCTACCTCAAGTATTTGGTTAGAGTAACACAAAACAGACTATTAAAGAACATGGAGATGAAAGAGAGGGATCATTCCAGGTTTGGAATTGGGTGACTGAGAGAGGATGGAAGAGCCTGGTTGAGCAAGCTAGAGAAAAATGAGAATATTGTAAGAAGAGTATCATGCGTGATTCTGATGTGGGTTCTGAAAGATACTAAGAAAATACTCTTAGGTAGAAATGAATATTTTATTGGAAATTGGAACAAAGGTCATTCCTGTAACACAACTTCAAAGAACTTGGCTGCATTGTGTCCACGCACACCTTTTGAAGGCCAAATTTCAGAACTAAGTTATCTGGTGTTTTTGAAACAACAAAGGGCTCAGGCTGCAGGGTGAGTATCATTGGCTGTTTTCAGTCAGATTTGTAGTGAAGCTTAGGAGCAAAAGAAAACAGAGCACAAAGTTTCCCATGTCCAGACTTGGGAAACTGGTCAGGAAAGGAAAACAATGCATAAGGGTGCTGCTGAGAAACTACTTGCTAAAGAGATTAGCATGGATAAAAGGGATGCAGTTACTTTGCATCAAAAAATAGGGAAAAGGACCTTGAGGAAATTGTAGAAATCTTTGAGGTTGCTTCTCCCGTCACAAGCAGTGTGAGTTTGCCTTGATCTGTGCATATGTTGATGTGTTGTATAATACTTTCACAATCATCTTTCTTAAATGGTGTTGGATATATTAATCTTTCCTTAGTTTTAGAGGTGACCTCACCACAGTTATTCCAATGTAATCATTATCTCTGAGTGTGGAACAGATGCTCCTTAGAGGAACAGCTCATGTTTTCTTGCCTGGTACATGCTCCAGTGGGCACTGCCTTGCCCTTCTTCCTTATCTTATTGACTGGTGTGTGCCATTTACTACTTACAAAGGCATTTTTCCTAAATATTGTGACAGGTGAAGTTTTGGTTAATGGTATCGAGGTACACACTGTCATTTTTCCTCTGCATTCAGAGACATTTTTGAGTTACTTATAATTTTTTTTTAAATCCAAAGAAAAATCTTTAATTATAAAAGAATAACTAATCTAGTACATTTATAAATTTGATGAATTAGTGGCTTAAATGCGTTATGCCTACTATTGTTTTTTACGCTTGGTTAGTAGCAAAATGTGAATTTAAAATGAATTTTTTCCTGGTTTCTGTTTATGAAGAGATAAAATGGTCTTTCATTCCCAGAGCAGTTAAACTGATATTAAAAGGTTTTCATTAATCTTCTTAGGGACAAAATACTATTGCTAATTTAAAATTAGCAATATAACACTGACAATACGTAAAACTTTCAAGACAAAAAGAAAGTTCACCGTGAAATTTGTGAATTCCAAAGTAGAGTCAACTATGGAGGTGGCAGTAATTTCTGACATAAATAAAGATAAAAGAGAAGAAGGAGGGGAACATAATTAGTTTCCAAGGCAAGGAATCTGTATTCCTTAGGAAGCAAGCTTCCTGCTGTCAAAGTGTAGAGGGGCCAGAAACAGGCTATGACGGTGTGAGATTCTGTGCTTATGCTGCCAAAATCACTGCTTTCTGTGAGGACTTACATCCCTCCTGACTGACGGTCAGGCCTCTCATCAGTAAGTCTACCTGCCTCCTTTGAAACAGTTGCATCTCAGAATCATTTTGCTTGTGATTTTCCAACAGTTGTGAGCAAAGCACAAGCATTGAAAGAACTTCACAGACTCGCCTGTGTCAGTGGGAAGAAGGATGCTGCACAAAACTTGACTACTCAGGTAAGGGAAGCGTAGCTACCTTTTCTCTACTGACATTCTTTACCACCACCAGATGTAAAAAGTGAGTAAAATTATTGGTATACAGAGCCAGAAAAGGTGAAATTTCAGCAAAGACTCAAACGCTCTATTTGTTACTGCTATTTGTATGTAATTTGTATGTACTAGAACTTGTGGATTTGCAAAATGATTTAAAAATAATGTTGGAAATTTAGAAGTGGCTAGGGCAGGTGAACAGGCATTCATATGTATACTCTACCAGGCATTAAAGGAAGTGAAGAGCCATGGACACATCTGCATTCTTTCTTTCTCATTATCTACCAATGAGATCTATCACTGTCATTCTCATATGATGTGCAAACTGATGGGCTGTTCTAAAACATACTAACATTACTGTCTTTACTGCCATCTTGCAGAAATAATGATGAAATTATCTATGCATCCCATGCATCTGAAGGGATTTACTTCCCTTTGAAGGACGAGGACGGAGGGATCAACATACTGCTTCCAAAGATAGTATTTTAATTTGTATTCTATATATACTACCAATATCTTTAGATGGGAAATTATGGTCCAAGAAAGAGCACCTTTAAAAATTGTCAGTAGTTTAATGTACATTCTATCTGCACCTTCAGTGTTTTCTAGATATGAAATTACGGGAAGATTATGATCCCAAAAACATCATAGACATTTTCTTTCCTCATTGTTCTCTCCTCTTTCATGTCTGGAATAAGCTAGGTGTTGTCACATGTCTAAAGACTTTCGGTTGTCTTGATATGTTCATTTGAGTTTCAACTAAGACAAAAGAAAACTGAAGATTAATGACGGTAACAGGTCAGTGAAAAAGTGGGAACTGAAGGCCAAGAAATTTGAAACCCGGGGCTGGGGATTTAGCTCAGCGGCAAAAGCGCCTACCTGGCAAGAGCAAGGTCATGAGTTCGGTTCCTAGTACCAGAGAAAAACCAAAAAAAAAAAAAAAAAAAAAAAGAAATTTGAAACCCAATTTTTTATCCTTTCCAGTTAAATAATGTTGTTTAGGAAGCATTGTAGTTAATTAATCAAATTTAATCTTTCCTAAATATCTGTCACATATCTTTTTTTTATTTTAAAGAGAGAACAATAACAAAATAACAACAAAGACAAAAACAAAACAACACAAAAACATAAAGCAACACAGAATTTCAAAACAAGATGATAGGAAATTAACAGTGGTTGTAATATTACATATTGTTACCTTAAACAAAGTTGATCAGCTTACCTGATGTAAGAATGTGAGACTGATCAAACAATTAAAGAGAAAAAAATAGTAAAAAAAAAATTGGAAATGATACACAGCTTCACTAAAAAAGATGGTAGGAATTCAACAATGGTTATTACATTGCATATTGTCTTCAAATTATTTGTTCAGATTACCAGATATAAGCATGAAAAATTGGTAAAAAAAATTTAAGCATTAACTATTCCTTTCAGTAAGCCAATAAATGCCAGCAGTACAATTATCCCAGCTATCCTTGTATATACATATATATTTTTCCCCTTCCTTCTTTCTTTCTTTTTTCCTTTTCCCTCATCCCAGTTGTTCCTTCCCTTTGAGCAATTTCTTTCCCTTTCACAATATCTATCGTATCTTTTAGGTTTTATTTACTCTTTCAGGTTCTTACACTAGGAAGACAGACAATAGGATGTTTACACACATAGGTCTGACTTATTTCACTTATGAGTATGGACTCTAGTTGCAGCCATTTACTTATGAAAGCCTCGAGTTTTTTTTTATAGTTGAGTAATACTCCATTGTATTAAAAAACCACATCTTTTTTTATCAGTTCCTCAGTTGATGGGTATTTGGCTTGTTTTCAACATTTAGCTATAACAAATTGCTGCATATGTTTATGTGACAGAAACTAGGACTGGGGATGTAGCTCAGTGGCATAGTACCTGCCTGGCAAGTGTGAGGTCCTGAGTTTGATTCCTGGTACCAAAAAGTCCCCCCAAACTCCCCCCAAAACCCAACAAGAACAGCAAAAATGAAAAACCAGAAACTTGGGGGAATATCTATATATTTTTTTAATATCAGGTTTAGGAACCAGAACACAAGGAAAAAAGAAATGAAAGACCTCCTCCAAACTATTGAATGCTAAAGAAACCAAACATATCCACAAAAAAGGAGAATTAGGCACATTTTCAAATGATTTCAAACAATGTTTTGTTCCTTTCTGTAATCTAGATCCTTATCTTTGATGTATATTTGCTTATATAGTTATTAAAAGAATTTCAAAAATAAAGTCTTAAGCAAGTCATACTATTGATTTAAAATGTAAGGCATCATTAAATATTGGAGACCAAGTTCTTCACATAAAAATGAAAAACAAATTAATTCAATCAAAATTTGTCTCAGAAACAAAATGGAACAGTATCTACTTAAAATTGGAATTTAAAGACAAAATTTCTAAGAAGATTTGTAATCCACATTCCATGGTTGTCATTAGATATGTATATTTTGAGTTGAGAATTTTGATGAGAATAAGTAATGGAAAGTAAGTATGAGGAAGACAGGATTGTCATTTACATGGTGCACATGTTGCTGTAAGTTTAAAGGGTAAGACTTTTAAAAACACTCTCGATTGCCAGTAATATAATAAGTTCAACATTTGGGGGTTTTTTGGACACAAATAGGAATATAACAATAAGAAGAATGGGTGAAATGTTAAGGATATAGCAATATCCTGGGTAAGAAACATACATCAACCCTTCTTCTCTTTCTGGGTGTTGATGGATGGGGAAACCAGGCCAACTTGTGGTCAAATCAGTGAGCAATCAGGAACTGAGCACGTGACCATCTGAAATCTCTTGTAAAGGGTGGATCGGAGGAACCAAACTGAGCACGACCATAAGGTGTAGGCTTTGTGCACTCCAGATAGTACTACGTACGTTACCTTCATGTTTTACCTTCATGTGTCATTTCTGGCAGCCTGTGCTGATCATAGGCTGCCTCATAACTTGACTGCATGACCTACACGTGGCAAAGAACAGAAAACATAAGTGATGGTTATGGATGTTAGAAGCACAAGTGATGTCAAAATGAAAGCCTTTGCCGAGCTTAGCAGGTATAAAGAAAGAGGTGAGGTGGCCTTTTCTCTTTAAGAAAGAAATTTTAGCCCACAAGCCATTTCCTACTGTCCACAAATTCTCAAAAGGAACATTAGTGATGCCTCCTCTCAGAATGACAATGACAGTTTGGGGAAAGACTTTGCTATTCATTTGTTAGGACATGTGTGCAGGCTCCAGTGGAAACTCTGTTTACTAAATCCATTCTCTAAACATGCTATTTATGAGATTCTTCCAGGCTATTATGTACATCAATAGCTATTTTTTTCTTTTTGAATAACTGAATAGTAAGTAAGTCATCATGTGACTATGCCACAGTTTGTTTGCTTTCTCTACTGTTGATCAGCTTCTGGATTATTTCCATTGTGGAGCAATAAATAGATGTGATATAGACATCATTGTAAAATTATTTGGAGGACCTGTACATTCATTTTTCTTGGATAAATATAATACCTGGTAATAAAATTGCTAAGTCCTGTGATAAATTTATGCATAGTTTTATTAGAAACCAGTTTTAGATAAACACATGGTTTTAATAAATATATGCATAACTCATGAAATGTGGCTGGACAATGAATTATGTGTTATTTCAGGCATGGTACATTAATAAGACAGATATTATGAAAGGAAGAGTTAGGCATAGAATGTCTAGAGTCTCTGGAGGTACCTATATGGGAAGGGTTTACCTTCAGGATGTTTCCCTTGTGTCCTTGCAAAACTCATTCAAAAATTTCACTGTCACTCTAATGGTATTTAGAGGTGCGACATTTGAAAGACTAAAGTGTGGGTGACATTAATGGCATTATAAAAGTCAAACCTGGGCCTCCTTTTCCTTTTTGCCTTTCTGCCTTCTGCAGTGCCAGATTGCACCCTGAAGGCCCTTTCCTTAAGCTTGCAAATTGATACTGGATATCCCAGTTTTCATAACTGCGAGTCAGTGCATTTTTGTGTCTACACCAAAACCTTTGGTATTTTGTTATGCAAATAGAAATTGAGCAGGTGGAGTGATGTATGTGCACCCATGTTTATAGCAGCATAATTTATTATAGCTAAATCTTGGAAACAACCCAAATGCCCATCCACTGAGGAATGGATATGGTCCTGGTTCTATATTTAGGGAGGAGTTGCTAGGTATTTACTACATGTAATGTCACAGTTCTGAACAAGGTTAGGCACTGAAAGGAAGGGAAAACAAGTGGATAGAGTTGCTGTGTTTAGTGAACGAGCTTGTATCTGCAGACCTCAACAAGGGATTGTTGGATGGCTGATGAAATCTGCTGTATGCATCTCTGTCTGATATACAGAGGCTTCATGTCAGGTTACTTTTGCTTAAATTATACTGGAAGTAGTCAATTGTCAATATTTTCTCTTCTTTTGTTGTGCTGGAGATTGAACACAAGGTCAGGACATTCATGCTACTCGGGTAACCCAGCCCCTGGAGCTATAACCCGAACCCTTCACCTAGTTCTCTTACTTTCTAAAATGAAGAAGTGGTTGAAGATATGAAGGGTTTACATTTTTAGGTGTTCAAAGGTGGTATATAGTATTGCTTTTCTTTTTCTTTTTTGCCTTTTTTGACACAGGATCTCACTATGCAGTTCAGGCTGGCCTTGAGCTCATTTTGTAGCCCAGGCTGGCCTTGAGCTTGCAATGATCCTCCTGCCTCCTAAGTGCTTGGATTACAGGCATGCACCACCACACCTGGCTACTTTTCTAGTACTATACTGAACATGCTGGATTTTATGGGTCCAAATTCTTATGTTGGAGCTATAACATTCAATATCGCAGACTGAGTATTTTTGGATATGGAACACTTAAGGATTAATTAAATTAAAGTGAGATTTGGGAGTGTACTATGAGGTAGAGTGTGTGCTTAGTATGTATGAGTTGCTGAGCTT